AGGGGGGCTGGCATCACAATAACTGGTTAAACGGCTCCCCCTGGTGGACATAGTTCATCGTTCATCCTTTCCATTTCCTGGGCTTTCTGAACTCTCCTCTCCTCCAGCAGCTGTTCTCTATAAGCCATGACATCACAATAACTGGTTAAACGGCTCCCCCTGGTGGACATACCCTGCAGTTCATCCTTTCCATTTCCTGGGCTTTCTGAACTCTCCTCTCCTCCAGCAGCTGTTCTCTCTTCCTCATAAGCCATGATCGGAAGGCTATCTCATTCTCCTGACGCTTCTGTTCCTCTTCCTCTTTTTTCTTAAGCTCATCCTAAAAAGGAACCAGAAGAAGCAGAAAGGAGGACAGAACAAAAACAGGAAATTACATCAGTTTTTATAATACATTATGACAGAAACTGATATTAAACTGATATTAAAACCACATCACACCTCTTTCGCTTGCCTCTCTCTCTGCTGCTGAAGTTTGGCCAGTAATTCTTTCTGCTGTGGTGACAGAGTGAAAGTGGCATGTGAAGGAGCTCCATTTGCAGACTGGACCCTGCGCTTGCTGCCATGAACCCATGCTCCCCTTTGGGACGGTCTGGCAGAACTGGGTCTATTTCGGTGCTTCGGTGGAGGTTTGGGGATGTATAGAGTCTCAGTGCCAGGGGGAAAAGGTGAGGTAGAATTTTGCCTCGGTGAGGAGACAGGACTCTTGCCGAGATGGAGACCAGACTCACTTTGCCGTGAAGATGCTCGCTGATTGTCGCCGTGAGAAACCGGCAAGGGAGGAAGCAATCCTTGACTTTCCACCTCCTTTAGACTCACCAGATCAAACTTTCCATCTTTTTCAACCAAAACCCTTCCTTCCTTCGCTCCCTCGTTATGTTCATCCTCAGGCTCTCCAATCCCGCTCTCCTCTTTCCGAGAGATATTCAGTCTCTGCATTTGTCCGGACACCTCTTGCTCTTCCTCGAAGTCCCTATAGGAGGCACCATTGCTCTCTTGAGCGTCAAACTCTAGTGCAGGCACCACCAGGTCAACCAGAGTGTCTTTAAACTGCAGCCGTCTGCGCCGGCTATGGTCTGGAGGATCCTGGTCCTGGAGTTGTTTGTTAGCCTCTTGAATCTTATCCAAAATATATTTCTTTTCTTCATCGAGGTCTTCGTCGTTCTGTAAATGTGGAGAGGTTACAAGGTCGTCCCTGTCAGGATCTAACGCACCCTCTAATGGCTCCATGGGCGTTGGCCACCTTTCATCCGCTTCTTCATCAGCTATTTCCTTGTGTTTGTGTACATCTTCTTTATGCTCATCTTCTTCAAGCTCTTTGTCTATCTGAGCTTCAATGTCATCATCATCAGGATCCTTTGTTGGAGAAAATTGAAAACTGAAAGTGTTCAGTTTGAGAAAACCACAGTAAAAGGAGTAAGGCATTGTGTGTGTTAAAGGTGTAGTTTACCCCAAAAAGAAGATTCTGTCATTTTTTATATATATATATATATATATATATTGAAGAATGTGGGTAATAAAATAGTTGCTGGTTCCCAAACTTCCCATTGACAAACATGGTATGGGGAAAAATACTATGGAAATCAATGGGGACCAGAAACCCACATTCTTCAAAATATCTTCTTTTGTGTTCAGCAGAAGAAAGAAACTCATAGAGGTTTGGATCAATGATGGCAGAATTTTAATTTCTGGATGAACTATCCCTTTAAGGAGAGCATGTTTTCTAAAGGGTTAATCATACCCTTGAATCAAGATACATAGAGAGTATGTGTTGAATAATGCAGTGCCATGAGACATAGTTCTCTGGGTGAGTGAAAGTGTGTATGGATCTGTATCAGTGGGGTTGATTTCACACACACAGGTACAGCGTCTGTGTAATGGAATACCACACACCAGAAGACTGTCTCAGAGATATGAACCTGTTTCTGCCATCATTGCACATTCACTCACTTACCTGTTCCTCACTCTTGCTCTCCTCACTGATTAGCCAGTCCAGGTCTTTCTCAAAGTCATCCTCATACTCATCTAGAGTGTTCTGGACTGCAGAATCACTCATTTTCTCTTCGCTTTCTCCTAAGACACAGCAAATGAAAAATGGAGCACATAGAAAAAACATCTCCCTTCTGTTTCCAAACAAAAAAGATAATAGAACCATTTTAATTTAAGCTAAATTATTTAAGCAATATTTTTGAATGTAAATGATTATAAATATGTATAGTTATTTGAAATAATTATTTGGCCATTTATTAATAAATGTTAGATTTTATTGACCAATTTATTGATCATCCTTAATTCTCACTTTAATTTAGTTACATAAAAGCAATTGCAATAATATAGGAGACGTACAGAAAGACAAATCACATAAATGTACAACACACTTAGTTGATTTGTTGGCATGAATGTAGCTAGTTATGTAATAAATAATGTCCAAATGCATTACGGCTTTAGATTCAAACAGCTTGGAGTCTCATAAATTAGATGTCAGAGAGTTTCAGAAAGCGAAACACAGGAGTGTAGACATGGAAACTGATCCATAATGAGCAGCAACTGATCCATAATGAGCAAAGGTTATTATAGTTAACTAAAACTAAAACCTTTAAAAAAATGTGTTAATTAAAATATAATAACTTGATTTAACTTCACGTATTAAAAAGAACTAAAACTAAATAAAAACTATCTTAAAAAGAAAATAATCATAAAAAAGACAAAAACACGCAACTAAATTACTAAAATTAAAACACCAAATATAATAAAAATAAAAACTATTTCTAAGTATTAATAAAACTATAATAGTATCTAAGTGATACTAAAATAACACTGGTCTACAGTGACAATTGAAGTAACATTATTCTACATTGTTGTCCAATAAAAAAAACTATTTGTAATTCTAAATTGTATTCATTCTTCTTTATTTTTTTTACTATTTTTTTAAACAGACTTTGCAGACGCAGTTTATATATTTAAAGAGGGACTTTATATTTCATTTTGTAAATGCCACATATGGCCATTCCACTAAATGCACTGCAATGCCTAAATAATTATAGTGTGAAATTTCTGTGATAAAATAAAATTTTAACGAGCATTAAGGCTAATATTACAACACAAAACCTGGTGGTCTTGTCATTGCATGATATAGTTAACCTATCGTCTGCTTTTAGAATTCAGTTGTATTACTTTCCCGCGCCTTTGAAAATGTATGCAGCTTACCTCCAAAACTTTAGTATGGTGTTGCCTCGCGTTAAGTGCAAAAATAATGAACGGTAATTCATTAGCCGGCCTATTTATTCAAGATCTGGTCTCTACGCGCACCTGTACATTAGAGAGCAGCTCGCCCTAATCCTCTGCTGGCCTCAGCTTCAAAGTAGCATGTAATAGCTGTTGCCATAGAGACGCACAACACGGCCTGTCGTGGCAGCGCGCGCATGCGCAGACTCTTTGTAAATGTAGAAGGGAGATCCAGCCAGATTTGATCTGTGATACAGTTAGTGGAAAAAACAATAAGATACAACAAAGTATACTTTGGTTTGTTTGGCAAAAATCGTTATGAATAAACAATTAAAGTTTATTTCCTTAAATAAGGTGATGTAAGCAAATAAATCATTTTCTACGTCTATTAATTATACTTTGTATGCTTTGGTACTATTAGAATTTTTAACAACCATGCCAGTAACGTTTTGCTGACCCTGACACTTTCCTGGATTTCACTTTCTTGTAAAAAAAAAAAAAAATCTTGTCAAAAACACTAACACAAAGACAGAAATTATTGTGCATTAATATTATTATACTAATAATAATATTTAAAAGGTATTTATAACATGACAGAGTGTGAATAATAATTTTAAGGTCCTGTCACTACATTATTAAAATATTTCTTCTTTTTATTATCTCGGAAGTATCACGAATAGCTCGTATTTCACGTTTATGGTAAATGTAGTCCCTACAAGATTAAATAAAACACCGTTCATATGAGAAAAACTCAATTTCCCATAATACACCTCGACACGCATATAAAAGTCACGACACGCCGCGGGCAGAACTGTTGGAGAAGCTACGTGCAAAACTGCATATAGTTACTTTACAGTTTACACCCATTTATGATCCTCTTATCAACTGGCAGCTCGTGGACCGATACAGTTGTTGTCGCTCAGTAGACAAAATGACTTCTATAGCTTTGTGCACAATAAACAGCTCAGCAAGATCAATAGCAAGACTGTGCCAAGTGTCCCGCTCTGCGCATGGTACAGCTGATTTCCACTCTTTCGTAGCCCGTTACTCTACGCTCCGTAAATGTGCCTTTCTTCCGGGAGGAAAATGGTCATTCATAAGAGCAGGAACGAGACAGATGTCTCAAGCATCGCCGGGGAGGATCTCACTCGGACGGTACGGTGTATTTCTGGCTGCTGGGGCAGCAGCTGTCACCGGGGTCCTGACGGCAGGTGTAAGTCACTTTCAGCGGGCCGAGATGGCAACGAAGATATCCAAGGTTGAAGAAGAAGAGGGGAACATACGTGAGAGATGCAAGTCGTTCATGTCTGTACCAGTCACTGACATCAAGGTCTTAGAGCAGAGGAAAGACGCGATGTCTGCGAGAATGGAGATGCTCATCATGGAGACACAGGCTGCATTCTGTAGAGCCCTTGAGGAGGTGGATGGAGGCTCGTTCAGGGTGGACAGATGGAGTAGGAAGGAAGGTTAGCTAATTTCTGCTGACTTACTTCACTAATATAACGTTTGACTTTTTTTATTGATTTATAATGATGTGTTTCATTTAAAAAACACTTTCAGTGATGCTATGAATAAAACATAAAATATACTTACAATAACATAACTAGTGGTGGCACACAAGGCTTAGATAAAGTAGAGCAAACATGATGGTCCAAAGTCCTAATTTATGTTTGGGTCTACAGGTACATAAGTGGGAGGAAAAAAATCATGTTTCGGTATTTAAAAAAAAAAAAAAAAGTTGAAATTCTGAAATAAAAAAGTAGACATTTTGGTGAATTTATAACTTTTTATAACATAAATTTGACTTTATATCTAATAATTTCGACTTTTTATCATAATTGTGACTTTCTGTAATAATTATGATTACTAATCTAATCATTTCTGCTTTTTCTGTCACAATTATCACTCTATCTAATAATTTTGACTCTTTTTCATGATGATTTTTGTTGTAATTTCTACTTTTTATCTCATTATTTAGACTTTTTATGTCATCATCGTTTGTCTTAATTTTAACAGTTTGTCATAATTTCTACTTTTTTATTTCTTAATTATGCCGTATAAGTTGTCTCAGATGACGTACTATGCACCTATACAATACACTATATACTCTACCATCTCTCTATGAATTTTATAAGGTAATTTTATCATCCAGTATCAAAATCAGAAATGGAACTCCATAGCGTATATAAAAAAAAAAACCTTTCCAAATGTTCCTTTTAAAACCATAATGTAATTGGTTAAGTGTCAGGCTTATTTCAAAACATTTCATTTTGACATAATTGAGACACTTTTTTTTATGGAAGGGTGCTTTTTATTTCACGTCTTTTGGACAGAAGAAATGCAACACCCGCTGAGTGCAACCATAGAGCTTGAAAGATCAAAGACAATTTTTAATATAACTCCGACTGGATTCGACTGAAAGAAGAAAGTCATATACACCTAGGATGCATCGGGGGTGAGTAAAACGCAGCCTAATTTTCATTTTTGGGTGAACTAACCCTTTAATTGACTATTCGTAATCGTAATGCATCTTAGGTTTTTATTGTTGCATTCTAATTATTATTAAGCTATTATTGTGACAAAGATGTGTGCTTTATTATTATATATTATAACAATCTGCTATATAAAGAAGTTAATCGTTCCATAGATCAGTGATTCCCAACGAGGCATTGGAAAGATTTAGATTTTGCTTTGTTAAGCTATAAAACAGAAACATTCATACATTAAATATTAGCTAGAAGATTTGTGCTGGTGTTACATTGTAACAAACCCAATTGCATGTTTCTCTTGTGTCTAATAAAGGTGGTGGTGGCATCAGCTGTGTGATGCAAGATGGGAAGGTTTTTGAGAAAGCGGGTGTGAACGTGTCCGTGGTATTTGGGAACCTCACTGAAGAGGCCGCCAAGCAAATGCGCAGCCGTGGAAAAGTTCTGAAAGGGAAAGATGGTGAGAGACTGACTTCCTATTTCGAGGTGAATGCAGAGTGTGACTGAAAGCAGTTCCTTATATCTTCGGTTCTACTTCTAGTTTTTAATTTTGGAATTAGTTTGAACCGTCAGTGGTCTTAAGGCGTTTACTGTGAAGATTTGTCATGCCTCATGGAGTTGAGGGTTATTGAGAGGACGTGACTTGATGCTTAATTTATTGTTTTCACCGGTTAGCACTATCTCTGTGTTCCAGGGAAGCTGCCGTTCTGTGCCATGGGCGTGAGTTCAGTCATACACCCAAAAAACCCCCACATTCCCACAGTGCACTTCAACTACAGATACTTTGAGATCGAGGAAGCAGACGGTGAGTGTTCTTGCCAAGTCATTCAAGGCTGTGAGAAGAGAGATGTTGTTATCTGTGACCACCACCCATGTTCTCTATCCATCTCACTCCTTGTCACAGGCACAAAGCAGTGGTGGTTTGGTGGAGGAACGGATCTCACTCCTGTTTATATTGATTTGGAAGATGCCGCTCATTTCCACAAGACTCTGAAGGAAGCATGTGACAAGCACCATCCTAAGTATTACCCAGACTTCAAAAAGTGGTAGGAATCTCATTCCAGTAGTGTGTAGTTTGAATGGGGTGTGTTACAGCTGTTATGGGTGTGAGGATGTGTGTGTGGTGGATGAGCGTTTTATCTTCTGGGTGGATTTGAACTGTTCAGCAATGATAAGATTTCCCATTATTTGCAGCAGCTATTGTTTTGTTTTGTTTTGTTTTTTGGGAGTCAAACACTTTTGTTTAAAGACATCCCTTTAATTTTCTTTTCAGTTTATCATGAATGAGACAGATGCTCATTTAAAAGACAGAGTCTTTAAAATCTTTGATTGCTAGTACTTAATTTTGGTATTTTATTTTATAATTTTTAAAAAATGTAATTTTATTAAATCTGTGATTAAATAGTTTTTTTCCCTTAAATATTAGATTAGCACCAGTATTTTCTTTTTCTCTCAAGGTGTGACAATTACTTCTACATCCGTCACCGAGGGGAGACGAGAGGCATTGGTGGGATCTTTTTTGATGATTTGGATTCCCCCAATCAGGAGGAGGTCTTTAATTTTGTGAAGAGCTGCGCTAAAACTGTGGTGCCTTGTTACCTGCCCATTGTAAACAAACATCTAAACGACTCCTTTACCCCTGAGGAGATGGACTGGCAGCAAGAAAGGTTAAAAAAAAATCTATATCAAGTCAAATATCGCCCTATAAGGTTAATTTCTGTCATTGATCAGACGGTGTTCCTAAAATATATATTATATATTTTTTTTTTTTTTAAATGTTGTTACAAAAAAGTTCTATTTCAAATAAATGCAGTTTTTTTTTTTTTTTTCAACTTTCTATTAATCAACAAATCCTGAAAAAAGTATCATGATTTCCACAAAAATACTGAGCAGCACAACTGTTTTCAACATAATAAGAAATGTTTCTTGATCATCAAATCAGCTTATTACAATGATTTCTGAAGGATCATATGACACTGAAGACTGGAGTAATAGATATGAAAATGCAGGTTTGCAATTATAGGGGTCAATTATATTTTGAAATATATTAAAAACAACAAAATTCAAATTGTAATATTTCACAACTGTACTGTTTTATTGCGTTTTGATCAAATAAATGCAGGCTTAGTGAACACAAGACATTGCTTACAAAGACATTTTAAAAAGCCCCAAACTTTTGAACAGTAATGTATATATGTTTTTTGATTTACATTACATTTACATTTATATGCAAGTGCTATAACAAGTCTCAGTTAGCCTAACGCAATGCATGTAGCAAGGTTTTTTTTTAATTATATAATAAATAAAAAGAAAACAGATAGAATAGAAAAATAATAGAGCAAGCTACTGTTAGAGGCCTTTTTTTTGCTTTTTGTGAATTGTATAATAAATAAAAGAAAACAAATAGATAGAATACAAAAAGATTAGAGAAGCTAGTGTTAGTATTTTTTTTATAATTAAATAGTATAATGCTGAAAAATATTATATTGCCAGCAACATACAGACCTACATATGGAAAAAATATCTTCAAATATATACAAACAATTAAAATACTATCTTATGCGAATTCAGATAGTCTTAAGTCTAGTTAAATTTCTAAAATAACTGAATATTAATAATATTCAATAGTCATCATTATTCTATATTTTATATATAGCATAGTTATTACTACATTTGTAATTGTTTTTTTAGTTTAATTTGATGTTTGCCGTATATGTCTGTAAAATGTAAGTGTTCAGCAGCTAACCAAACTCTCTTTGTGTCTCTTAGATATGTGGAATTTAATTTAGTGTATGACAGAGGGGTGAAATTCGGCCTGGCCACACCTGGGTCTCGCATCGAGAGCATCCTGATGTCCCTACCACTTACTGCTAGGTAAAGGACTTTGTATTTAGCAAACATTGGCATGTTAGCTACTGCCTGTTACCATGGATCATCCTTTTTTAGCTTTTATCATAACATTTTGTGAACTTTGTTTACTTATATAGCCTAATTTAAAGAAGTTACATTTTTAAAATGTTTTTTTTTACATGTTTTCCCTGAGCTCCACTTATAACACAACTAAACGTTTTTCCACACCAAAAAGATTTTCACAACCATCTCCAAAAATGAGCTCATATGATAACCTCAAACAATAAAGGAAAATGGGATTCCTCATGATAAGACCCTTTTAAAAACGCACAGTAATGTTTTGCAGTGAACTTCTTTCTTTAGAGTCTCATTTAAACTGTCTTTATTGTATTAATCTATTGTTTAATATTACTAACTTACTAGCCATAAATGTTTCATTTCAGGTGGGAGTACATGCACGAGCCCACAAAAGGCACTAAGGAAGCCGAGATGCTGGAGGTCTTACGGAACCCTAAAGAATGGATCTGACTGAGAGGAAGACCAGTTTACCTAGTCATCAATATTGGCATTATTAGATGGGAATTGGTGGGTGGGTTTTTCTCTGGATTCGCTCAGTGATACCAAACTTCAATAAGTACAACAGTCACTAAAACAGAAAATCAGCTTCTCCAACAGGACACATTCTCATCATTTGACTCATTGATTGTTTTTTCTGACTTAACTGCAGTACTGCACGATTACTGGCTTGGCTGTAATGAACTCTCTATCACTGCCATTGGCTGTATGGATTCACTGGAGATGCAGTGTTTACTCCCGTGACTGTGTTACTTAGTTACAGCTTTGTTTCTGCTTGCACTGCTTTAATCATGACTACTGGTGTATTCGAAACCTGTAATGGCTTTGGTATGCTGTTTTTGAATGGATGTGTTAATCGCGTATGTCTAAAGGGTCATGTTTACCATGTGCTAATGCAAGCGCCATGTCATTATTGCTTTTCTTACCTTGTGAATTTTTTTGTGCCTCACTTCAAGGTTGTTTTGTGTCCTGTCATGTGCTAACATATCTTTATCCTTGTACTTTTTTTTTTTTACAGCTATTAAAATAGGAATCAGAATTAGGAGTATTCTCAGGACATTATAATGTTGATATTTTGTGTATTACGAAACAAAATAAAGTTTTTATGTGGTTTAATCTGGTGTACTGATAAATCTGGTCAATAAAGTAGTATAGGGGTTCTTAAACCTAAAAAAAAAACATTCAGTTCTGAGATGCTATTAATAACTTTTCCTGATATAAAAATGGCATGGTTTGTGTTCAAGTTTATATTAGGCATGGTTAATAATATTCATCTGATGTCTCCAAGGCAACAGAACAAACTTTGTGTCCATTGCTTGGGCAATTTAGTCACTTTATGAAGTTAATAAGTTATGACAGAACTACCTTTGTGTGCTTGTTTGCATGGAGGCAAAGTAATTCAGGTAGTAAATGTTGAAATTAAACTGAATTTTAAAGCAAGTACATTAAATCTGAAGTTTGTAACCGGTTTGGCTTTGTTACATTTAAAAGGGAATACTGTAAGACTGTACATTTTATATACATTAGATATTTATATGGTCATATTATAACACAACGTAATAATATTGCTATAATATTAGACTTGTCATACAAAAACGGAGCATGGCAAATTATGATAAACTTTATACATACACTAGCATTCAAATGTTTGTTAGATTTGTCAGATATTTTGCTTTTAAAAGTCTCATGCTACCAATAATGATGTGAATTATTGCAATTAAAAAAAAAAAAAATCTAAATTTCATATATTTTAAAAAACAAACATGCATTCCCGTGACAGCAAAGCTGAATTTTTTTAGCAGCCATTACTAACATTAATCATTCTAACATAATGACTTGTTACTCATTATGAAATTAATTTAAATTCTCTGTATTATCAATGTTGAGAACAGTTGTGCTGCTTAATATTTTGGTGTAAACCATGATATATTTTATGTAATAGAATAATACAATGAAACAGTTGAAACAATTATTTGTAACAATTTTTAAGTCTTCATAGTTACTTTTTATCAATTCTGTGTCTTTGTTGAATAAATTAAGTGTATAAGAATAAAGAGTGAGGGCCAAAAAAACTTTTATTACAAATAAAAGTCAAGCTCAATCATTACAACATTTTTTATTTGTTCTTAATACATTTATATATACACATTATCTATCTCTGAGTAAGGCTTAAGCAATAAACACCACCACAATCACTATTAACTACCACAGAAATATCAGCCTGCACATGTACAGCAACATCAGTCAAAGTCTGCCAAACTTGTAACATCATCAGACTGTATTTCAAATGACGGTAGTCTTATTTCACATTACCTTTAAAAACACAAACAATTTTAGGCAAAGTGAGACTGTTTTGATTTTCACAAAGCTTTCTTGAGTTAGTGCTGGTGATGGGTTTTCTTGCATATTTATGTCAGCTGAGCATGTTGTTGATGAACTGAGAATATAAACTGTAGAAAGCCAAGAGGATAAACCAAACAGCATTTGCCATTTTTTCTCTAGTAATTTATCACACCTTACACATCAATTAATATTTCTTTACAAAGAGCAGTCGGTGCCCTAAAAAGTGCATTCACTCACAGTTACTGAATAAGTACAAATGCGTTGAGTTTTCCATTATGTTCTCTTTCCTTCTCTCACACACACACACACACACACACACACACACACACACACACACACACACACACACACACACACACACACATTCCTGATATTTAATACTGAATACTTCCTTGTTGAGTTTTTCCTTCAAATTTTTTAGGGGACTAGGACAGCTTGTTCCCATAATTGGATCCTAATCTGAAATTCTCTTGGTTTTTGTTTAGTGTAGCTGGGCTACACTAAAGGTGAGGTGAAAACTGAGGTGAAAACTAAAGCTGAGGTGAAAACTAGACTC